ATATATAGCTATATAAGGCAATACTTAATAATATCTAATAAAGATATGGGGCAAGACCTCACCTTAATACTGAAAAAAAAAAATCTTTCTAGTTCTGTTTGGAGATCTTTGCTAACTGCCTGACTGTATAATATTTTTGCTTGTAGCTGTTTATCTACTACTATATCAATAGAGCAGGTCTCTTTATTGTTTCTATCATCTAAGTTCATCATGTTCTAGTCTATTTTCATATTGGGCAAGATATTTGTTAACTAGTTAAATCCAAAATCTAGTTCAAGTAGGGTTAGATTGTTTATATTATAATGTTGTTCTAGTATGGGAGAGATCATATTAAATATAGTAGTATCTTGGGTTGGATCTTGCTTAATTTGTCTATCTGTGAGAGAATTATATGTCAAGTGTTGTTTCAGTCTTAGATTAGGTTTGTTGTTATTTTGGGTGATGATGTAATTCCTGTTGAATTTGGGAATAAGCTAGAATTTGCTATTTTTTCTAAATTTTCTTCAAAGATATTGTTATTAGCAGTAAATGTTATAGATATAAAAGTATTGTCAATACTTTTATACTTTTTTTTCTTATCTTGTTCATCTATTAAGTCATAGTTTTTTATATAGATATATATATATAAGTCATGTTTCTTCTCTTAGAGATTTGCTATATGCTTTTTGTTATTCTTGTTGTTTTTGTTAGTTGCCAACTTAGTCAGTAACAGAGTTAAGAAAGAAACTAGAATACAGAAGACTGTCTCTCTGTTCTGTTTAATTTTAGTATATTTTGTTTGTTACTATATAGTATTTTGTAATAGTTATATAGTTATAAGATGTTCATACTATTTTCTAATTTTTTGTTGCTTTTGTTTGTTTTATTTACTTATAAAATTGTGATCTATAGGACAAAGTTTTATATATTAAATTATTATTATCACTATCAGAATTATTTTTATTTAATATTAGCAACTATAATTCTATAGTATTTTTATTATTATCAATATTTTTATTTTTAGAATTGTCAATTTTAATTCTAATATTTTGAAATATAAAAAAGTATTTGATATATTTTAAGAATCATCTAAAAATAAAGATAATAAGATCAATTTATAAAGCTTTTTAAGCTTATCTAATTTTTGAATTCTATGATTTTGAGTAAGTATTCTATATAATTAACAAATTGCTAATATTTTTTAAAACTATAATAAAAATATAATTAAAAATATATTGTATATATAAACATAAATATTGGAAAGAAAAAACTAGTAAATTATACTTTTTGAATTTAAGATTTTAGTTTTAAAATATTTTATTAAAAATATTTAAAAGCATAATTTAAGGTTTTTTGTTCTATAAAATAATAATAATTAAATTAGTTATCTACTTTTATTTATTTTTTTTTAAATATTAAGGTAACTACTTTGGGTCTGGCATTGTTTATTAACTTCTCAGTTCAATTATCGAGATACTGAATAGATATCTCTTGACTTTGTTACATCAATGAGAGTATAATTGGTCACACATATAACTTTAGTCATTGTTTAATTAAGGGCTCTACTATATCTATTTCTATTTATAGTTATCTACCAATTGCCATATCTAGGATCCGCTTGTGGATCCTCTATTTAAATCCTCTGATCGACTTAGCACTATCAGATGCTTTTCTTAAAAGAATTCCTGTCAATAAGGCCTCTTAGAACTACTTTATCCTCATAGTAAATCTACTAGAGCGGTTCATATCCTACACATGTATCACCTGGGTTTTTCGGAAATATATGCTCCAATCAGAGGACTGAAATTTGCGATCTTCTGCATTGCTACCATAACCTACTTCTCGCTCTTTACAAGATTCGTTCCGATCCTAATATCTATTTCCAACTGGCCCTTATACCAATCTCTCTCTAACTACCAAACTAGTTAGCCCGAAAGGGTTGTTGTACCTAGGCTCTAAGTGCCTTCTGGTTTTATTTCTCTTAGTTCCAAATTCTGTAGCATCATACCTTTTCCTCTAGTGCAATACTGGTGGCCAGGTTGGTGGACTCTTCTTGTCTCAAGGTTGTTCGTCCGGTTCTTCGGTCTCTGATTTTGGTTTTCTGTAATATCATCGAAGATCTTCACTACTCCTAGCTCGGGTCTTGCCAAATAGGTTTCAAATATTCTGGTTCCTTGAATTTAGATCGCTTTAAAGCTTCTATTTTGAGATGGTGATACTAAGATTACAGATGATATACCCAACCAATTATCAAATAAATGTTACTATAACATAGGCCTATTTTTCAAAAAATGTCTTCAGTAGGAATCGAACTCTAGACCTGCCACTTGGGGGTGACAACTTAATAACTACTCTATATTGCCACACTCCTGTTATCTACTATTTATTATATCTATTAGAATAGATAAATCTTATAAATATTTAACAGAAGCAGCATTTATACAGATTCTATGAATTTGTAATACAACTTGATCTAATTCATTAGTATATAATACACAATAATTCTAATATTCAATAATATTATTGTTAAATTGTCTTGATATAGTTGTATTAAATAAGAATTTTTTAATAAAAAAGCTTAAATTCTTGTAAAATTGAATTGGATTCAAAATGAAACTACATACAATAATAATATGAAATATATTTTTTATGTTAACTCATGTTAAAGTTTTTAATACTATATTAAACTTTTCTATTTAAAATTTTTTTTGAATATTAATAGTAAGACCATGTCTTTAACTTTATTAAAATTTAATTCTTCTATAGTAAAAAAAAAAATTTCAAAAATAGCAAGAAAAAACTCAGACTAATTTATTTGTGATTTAAACTAACTAGAGTAGCCATAGCTCACCTAAATTTGTAAATTAATAATTATATAGTTTAATTGTTTGATATTTGATCTATAAAAGATACTATAATACTATTTTAGCACTAGCTATAGTAAGTAATAGAAGTTGAGAAGACTAAGAGATTGAAAGAGATAGAATTGATAGAGAAATTATAGTATTATTAGAAGATTAAATTGAAGAATAAAAAATACAATAAGGTATCCAGATATTATAATAAATTTGTAAATTAAGATATAAAAGAAATTTAATAGTAATAGTTATTGCTAATATAGCAAATAAAAAAATAATATTTTTAAGTAGATTTATAATATCAAGAGAAACAAGCCTAAACAAGATAGAGTTGATAGATAGAATATATTGATTGTAATGAAATATCATACTGTCAAAGTATTTAATTTGACTATAAAGTATAATAATCAATTTTGGTGAAATATCTAATAATGTTAAAAGTGTAGTGACTTAGTGAAGTAGTGAAGTTGTTGTATCTCCAAGCAATTGAGTACAAGTTCAATTCCTACTGGAGACAAAAATTGAATTAGAAAAAACAGATTTAGCAACTATCATTATGGCTGAGAAAACTTGAAACACTGTAACTGTAGTCATATCAATTTATTAGAACTGGAAGATCTCAGATATTTGTATAATGAAGAAGTTATACAGGGGTATGTATTAGTATTACAGAAAGCTACAGAACTAATATAGTAGTAGATGCTTGCTTAGTAAGTTTCAAATAGAGAAGTAGCACAAATCTTTGATGATATTACTAGAATAGGATATACTTTAGATTAATATAACTAAACAAAAACCAGGTATTTGACAAGAGTACTCTACTAATCAGGTTGCTAAAGTATCAATTAGAGGAAAATGATTTGTATACAAATACCAAGAGACTGATATCCTTTCTAGTAGTAATGCAAATCGACCAAAATTTTTCAATCAATTAGTTGATAGATTATTTTATCTAACTAATTGATTATTCGATTTTTTCTGATTAATCAATTAATCAACTAGTTGATTAATCGATTAGTTAATTAATCAACTAATCAATTAATTAATTAGTCGATTGATCAACTAATCAATTAATTGATTAGTCGATTAATTGATTAATTGATTAGTTAATTAGTCGATTAATCGATCTGATTAGTTAATCGATTAATATATTTAAAAAAAAAAATCACTTTGAATTAATTTTAATCCAAAATATAGTGATAGTACTTTCAAAATCACTTTTAAGTCAATAGAATTTTTAGATCCATAGCATTAATATAAAAATATATAGTTTAATTTTAACTTAATAGAAATATTTATTACCAAAGCTGAAAGTTTAGTAAGATATTTTAAATTTTATTTAATTCTATATATTTATATAGCTATATCCGTTTATTATGAAAAAAAAATAAAAGTTAATTTCACAAAAATTAACTCGCTTTCTGCTTTTTCTAAAAATATATGTATAATAATGTTCAATAAAAGAATAATAAAAAATATCTGTTACATATCAAAAAAGAAAAAGAATATTTTAACTATGAATTTTTTTTTTTTTTAATCTACTACAATACTAATAATTTTCTGTTTTACTTATTTAACAGAGAAAAAATTTTTATGTATGTTAAATTTCATTTTAAAAACAATAATTTGTCTACAAGCTATAGATCTAATCGATTTCATTTTGAAGTAATATGGTTGCTAGTATCTGAAAACAACTATTCGAAAGAAATATAAATAGTAGGAATTGCAAGATACTTTCTTGCAAGAATGGAAAAAATAGAAAATTAATTTTTTTGCTTATTTCACCAATCTAGTGGATCATTTTTCTCTGTTTGATCTACCTCAGAAATTGAAAAGTACTTATTAAATTCATTTTGATTAATAAATTCATCATCATCATTTCGAATTGATGAAAAAAACTTTTTATAGCTATTTTTTTTTGTAGTTTGTTCTGTTGAACTTGAATTAGTAGTTGTTGCTTGATTAACTTGTTTATTAACTTGCCTATTATAGTCTGAGAATATACTATAAATGGATAGTGATGATCACACCTTTTATAGAAATAAATCATCGATCAATTGATTCTAGAAATTTCCAAAGCATGATCTAAATCAAAGATTATTCGTTAAGTAAAAAAAGTTTTTTTTTATTTCTGTTGTTTTTAAATTTATTTATTTATAATTTTAAAAATTAGGAATTTAATTATTATAATACTATACATATTAAGAATCTATAATTACAATACTATAATATAATATTAAGAATCTAATGCTAATTGCTATAAAACTATCAAAATCAAGCTTTGTAAATATACTGAATTTTTGTACTATGTTATAAATCTACTAAACTTTTATGCTACGTCTCGAATCTATCTAACTCTTATGTTATATTTATCTCAAATCTACTAACTCATGCTATGT